TAGCAGCGATGATTGTTGTTGACTTCGTAGCGATCGAATTCCTGGCAATCGACCTCGGCGGTTATCATTTCTTCGTCAGAGCTGGACATTCCGCTCCGTTTAAATTGATATTTCGTAGTATCGAAATTATTCCGCACAGACGCAATCTCAAAACAAGCATCACCGGAAAGGCCGCCGGCGTTTGTTGTGATTCAACTTGCATGTGCTCCGATCATGCCGAGCTCTCCGAGTGGCTATTCGTGTTTCCAAAGACGCCGTCGCGATACCAACAGCCCACTCCTGCGTTGATTGTGAGCTTGCAAGACACCGGAAGTTATATTTTAAAACACGAGAACGTCGCCTTCCTCCCCTCACTTTAGAAAACATCCGTGAAGATCGATTCCTCAACTTCTTACGATGTCCGTAACCTAACAACTTCTTAGCTAAGTTGTCGTAGCCCAAGAAGAAGTTCGTGAATCTGGCATCTTGTGTTGAGGCAAACTCATCCGATCAATGATGCTGGTGGTGATGATGCTATAGGCTTCATAGGCTTCATGGCCTCCAGACAAATATGGGAGGTACGTTACCGTGTTAGAAAAAAGCTCTTCAACCTGTCTTTTGAACTGGTGTATCGCTAATCTGGTGAAGAATGTCAGTCGATTTGTGCATCCGACCTACAGGCGTCTCATAAATCCGAGAAGGTAATGTTGTCGCAGGCTCCTGATAGGCAACAATCCACACGACCTCTCGGAAAATTCCACACCGTCTCACAACCCGCGACGGCGTTGAAGATGGTGAGAGAGGGAGCACGAGCCCGAAATGCATTATACTGATGCACATTTTTTTTCTTCTTTTTCTTTTTCTTTTTCTTTTTTTTTTTTTGGGGGGGGGGGGGGGGGAGAAGAGAGAGTAGCCGTGCTTCCGTAATGCAGTTGGGCGGGCGTCGTTCTTGGGCCCAGCCACCTCTTCGTGCCGCGCCACGACATCATTTTGTTCAAATTTTAGTGTCTCGTGCCAGAGACGTAGCGGCGGCGATGGAAGCCACATCATCCGACTCACCACAGTCACATCTGTTTTCTCCGCAAGTAATCACGTAGCACCCGCGCTCTCCCGTTTTCGAGTCAGACGGACGATTCCGTGTCAGACGCACGATTCCGTGTCAGACGAACGATTCCGTGTCAGACGAACAATTCTGAGTCAGACGAACCGGCAAGGGTCCGTCTGACCCGGATTGAAGGTCACACAAAGACCTTCTAAGCCGTCCCCTATTTTTTTTTTGAGGGGGGCGGGGGGGGGGGGGGGAGGGGGAATTGTGTCGGCAACCTGGGGATCAAAGAGATGGACTAGGTTGCCCTCATGTTAAATCATCCGTGCTCACTTCCACCGCGAGAGGGCCAAGTGCAATTGGCGGAGTGAGCGGTACTCCGCCGCTGATTAAAGGCCGTCATGGCTTATGCGCCGTGCTATTTTGACCGTAGCTTGGGCGATACGCTTAGTATATAACTACGTGCTTTCGAACCAGTGCATTGTGCTATTTTCCGAGACGGGTAGCAGCAAGGGAAGTCCCACACACTCTGAACATTCTTCTTCATGCTCCTGCTGCAAGCATCATTCGAAAAAAAACAAAAAAAAAAACGACAGCATTCCTGTGCGTGGTTCGGCGCCTACAGCGACGGGGTGTTATTGGTGAAGCATTTTCCAGATGGCGCTGAACACGACCAACAAAAGTCGTAATTGCGCCGCCTGTATTCACGTCACCATTTAAGCTATAAGTATAGACAACCAGAGGGCTAGGCAAGGAGGAGCTCGAACATTGCAGTGCATTGAGGGAAAGGAACTCGCGAGTATTAGAGGTTCTCAAAGATTACTAGGTTTATCAGCCTGATTATCGGTAGTATCACTCCAGTCAGGGAACAACTATCAAGTGTACTCATGGTACGTAAACAATCTGATGAAGAGCGTCGTGAACGGAGGCGTCTGGCGCTTGGAAACTCAGATTATATTTAAAGGTTCGTTCTTCTAGAATGATTGACTTATGCAGCACAATTATCTATTAATTTGCCATAGATTATTGCACTGTTAGTCTGACTCTAAAGTCCAGAAGCTTTAGAATTAACTCTCGAGTTTATCCAGAAGTGGTGCGGATCCTCTCGTTTCCAGATGTAGAAACGTGAAGAATATCTTAGAATATGGTTATGCACACTCGCACATCTTACATATTTCTGTCTTTGCTTTTGGTTTCTTCCAGTCCAAATAATTATAAGTTATTTATTCGACTGTGGTTTCGAAAGTCGTCTATTTTATTTTGGTTGAATGACAGCCTTCTCAAGTTTGTCAAGTTTACTGCTTTGCTCTTTCGAGACGACTTTAACGTCTACGATTTCTTAATTTTTAGCTTTGATGGTGTCCAATATACTACAGATTGCTTTCTGGCATGATTTAATTTTTTTTTAATGTTGCTAGCACTAACATCGGTGTTTCCTTTTGTTTTCTCTATCCTAACAGGACTTGGGTTCAAATCTATTCTCCCGCACAACAATAATAAACTTGTCAGCATCAGTGGGATATTGCAAAAATATATATTTATTGACGTTTACAGATCCAAGAAAAAAATTATATCACTCTCTAATAGTGATATTTAAATATAGCGAATTCTTCTACAGCTCTACGTAACTGTGAAAATCAACCAATCACTCAAGTTGACATCTCTACTGTCCCCGGTTAGGCTGCCTCTGACGCCGCGAGCATGGTGACAAAAGTTTTCGTCCATTTTTTAAATCACCACCAGACGATGCTGCCCTTGAATCGGTGAAATGAAGGGACGGAATAATCTTCCTTCTTTCCGTTGGTGCCAGGGACGAAAATATTTTCGCAGCTTCTCCTTTTTTAGTGTGCAGAGAAGGGTGGAGAGCTTTAGCTGAGAAAGCCCAGGCATACTATGTTCCATCTTCCTAGTTCCTAGACAACTCATTTGATTTGCGTTTGTCTTCCAAGTAGCGTAAAACACACCAGTGCACGAGGCCCGTGCCTTGAGCGGCCCTTGGAAGCAATTAACGACGCAGCACCGAAATGAACGGCCCGCGGAAGCGAATGGTGGCGGAGCACCCGCTCGTGGCACGTGCCTTGCGAGTTTTTACAACAATCGTGGGCGGTACTTGAAAGCCTGAATTTTGTGACGGGATTTTTCTCCTGCCGTTTTTATCTAGATGAGCATTCTCCTCAGGCGCGATAGGATATAACAACTAGATGAAAAGTTAAAACAACCATAGGTTAGCAATCGTACTGTTTTGGACACATTTCAGGCCTACTGCAGATACACGATACGCCCAGTGGAGGTGACTGACCTGTACACACAATACGATTACTAACCATACTTCGCTTTATACAAGGTGTCACATAAACATTTACAGCTTTTGTTTCTACTGCAAAAATAATCTAGGCATCGCCGAAAGCTCATTCTCCGCCCAAAGGTAGCGCTAGAGGTCACAACCAGATGCCAAAGTTTCAGCCTGATCCGATAGCGTAATCAAAAGTTATAAGTGATTTTCTAAAAGCCTTGATCGGAAAATGGCGGCCGACGGAGTTTTCGAATACCTGAGGCTGTATGGGACCAGAAACCGAAAACGGGCAATTCTGAACTCCATTTTCCCATTGAATTTTTCAGAAAATCACTTATAAATTTTGATTAAGTTATCGGATCGGGCTGAGCTTTTGGCATCTGGTTGTGACCTCTAGCGCTACCATTGGGCGGAGAATGAGCGTTCGGCAGCGCCTAGTTTATTTTTGAGGTGAAAAAAACTCTGTAAATATTTTTTGTGGCACCCTGTACTTAGTGTACAATGGTGGCAATACCGCGTTATCGAGCGTGTGGTTCTATTAAGCGTCTTATACGGGTTAGAACATGGTCAAATTAACGGCCAGTCCATGCCTCACGCCGTCCCAAGGAGCTCTAATAGAGTTTTACCCCAGTTTTGAAACTAAGTATAGCTTTAACTTGAGGAAGGAAACAAAGGTCGCGCTGGAGTTCTAGAGATTCTACTCTAGACCATCTCAGTCGGTGGTTTTGTCTTTTTTAGTGAGAAAAAGGCTTTTTGGCCACGTAGTTGTGTTCAGAAAATACCCCACTGGGCTTGTTTACGATCCCAAGTTATCATTGATAGCGACTTGTGGAGTCTCAGAAACAAGGTTCGCCTTTGCTTTTACCACCGCTCAGGTGCCTGCTAATATTGTCAAATCAATAAATACAAAATGAATGCGTATAATTTGTGTGAACAGAATGAGCGGTGCCTCGGCTGTCGCCCCAGTTCACCTGCAGAACACGGGAAAAAATAGTATTTTTTTCGCCTTCTAGTTTTTTTTTTTTTTTTTTGATAAGTGAAGATCCTTTTATAACCAATCCCAGAACATTTAGGAACTTTTAGTTCCTAATCTTTGTTGACAGGGGCATATGCTCTCACAGCCGCAGCACCGTTTTTTTTCAGTTTGTTTTAGACTGTGGCGTGTAATAGATGCAATGAAAGTATTTCGGTTCAATACTTTTCGCTTGAACGCAAAACCACGGATAGTTGGATAGGAGATTAATTTTGTAACGGGTCCTATTTAAGCCACATGAGAGGGTAACGCATTTATTTAACATTAGCTTAAAAAAAAATTTTATGCGGCGCTGTAATGCCGGAAGTTTTGATTTGTGACGTAGCTTCTCTTGCATTTCGTAATTTGCAGTGAACTAGCTATACCATTTCTGTGAGAAGTCTGCTATTACTTTATTTCGGTAGTTCCCGTAGGCATGGCTAAAGCACCCGAATTTATTTCCATGTGTGTCTTGTGGGAAGAGACACTTGTCTGAGATTCAGTGAGGCCAATCAATCTTCGCGCCACCTATTGTCTTCCACTATAGGTATGTTGTGGCCATGCCTGCAATGCCATCGCCGTATTGTAGTGGACACCCTCCGTGTAATGTTTGCTGTATGTGGCCCTTATGAAAGACGTGAAGGTAGCGCTGGTCTTGATGCTTGGTTCATCTACTTCTTGACGCATCTGTTATTCACGCAATGCTGCAACATAAAAATAAGTATATTTTTAATCGGCACTCGAGAGAATGGATTTGGATTTGCTTCGCGGTCGCCAGGTTGCTCGTTGAAAGCACGGTCATCACATGGCCCCGTATATATACAAGCTTATGTATGACGTCACTAAGGCGGCATCGCAGCATGGAATGTGATTCATTATTTGCTTCCGGCATTCATCAGGTGACATACGTTAAGCCAAAAATGACGCTTTCTTATCTTCTGAAACAACTAGCAAATTAGCGGCATCTTTAATGTACGCCAAAAGTTACCCAAATTTGAATGATGGCTAAATAGCATCACAGATGTTTGACTGTGAAGCTCTACGAAATACAATGGTGGCTTCACGTGCCGTTGGTGAACTTATAAACATTATACGACGGGATGCAGAAGGTAGAGGAAATCTTTAATATTCTTTATAGAACGGTGCCCTTTTGCCTGATTCGTCAGCAAGACCAATCTTTAGGGAGAATTTGATCATTCGCAAACATTACCTATTCACATATGTAAGTCAGTTTCTGACATGGAAGAGGATGACCATACACGCTCATCGTCAAGCCGTTCTGATAATAATTGGGGATGTGTGTGATGACGTTCAATTTGACGGTTTGAAATAAGCAGGTTTCTGATATCTTTGTCACCAAGTAATCAAGGAGACCGATTTTTTATATCTTTCTTCAGTTTTATTTTGTTGCGGATTTAAACTTTGTGGTGTTTATTATCTTATAAATATAGTCCGCTCGGAGCTTTTTGCTACGAGTTCCGGACGGGAACATATTTCGTTAGCTGGTGTTCTTTGTTATCTCTCGTAAGAAGGAGACTGCACACAGCTAAGATGCATCGACGCCCTTTGTCGCCTTTTATTTAGTTGCTCTATAGTGCCTGGAACGCGTCACCCAGTAGTGTGTTTTCCGCGTTTATAAAGTGGGCCCTTAGTTTTCGCCCGATGACGTCACAGACGTGTCACATTGCTCCCGCCCGCGATCCTGGCGGTGTCCCAGCAGCAGTGGTGGAAGCTGCAGACCCCTGTTTCGTCGCAGCGTGAGAGTCCACGGAAGCTTCGGCAGCCAGGAGTTCGGACGCCGCGACGACAGCGACACAGGCGTTCGCTCGTGCGTTTCGCCAGCATTTCTACGACCAACCGCCAGGATCCCGACACCCAACAGCGCTACACCCCGTCATCTGTGACGTCATTTGCTGCCACTTCGAGGCCACTTTTGATGTATCTGCAGCATGGGGCGCTGAGCACAGCAGTCGGAGACGCACTCTAGGCACCAGACTTGCGGCATCGCTGAGCCGTGATTACTCGTTGATTTTGATAACAGACCACCTGAAGTTATGTAGGCAACAGCCGCTGACAGCTCAAGAAAAGAAGGGCGTGGTCTTTTAAGCTCACACCTCTTGCTTTGCGATTGGTTCTCCTGCGTTTTAATAGCTGATTCCACCATCTAATTGGCTGAAAAGCTATGAAAGGATGCCCAGGATTCACAACACCCTGCGTTTGATAAGCTCTCAGCGACTATGCGGAGCCCAAGTTCGTCTGCTTCTGTAGCAAGGATTACGGTAATTGGGATAGACCACAAATCTTGCTGTCCTGAGGTCTATCCAATCTCCTCAAATCCGAGGCGATTGGAGCTCGGCGTTCTGACTTCGCCACAACCCCTGCGAAAGAAGCAGATGAAGTTGGACTCCGTATGGGCAGCGAAATCTAATCCGTGACGCGGACAGCCTTGGCGAAAAAAACTCCTTTCGGAGCTTCTGGGTGTTTTCGAGACTTGGCGGGGATTTCGTTGGAGTCGGTAATGGTTCGTAATATAAGTTGCAAAATGTGAAACTTACATGTCCGCGTTTGCATTCCATTCCATCCACAAGCGAAACTCGCCTGCACTTGTGGAAACGTGTAGAACAGCACACTGTCTGGCACTTACGGAGACTCTTGGGCTTCTGTGGACAAGATAGGTAGACGTCTAACTTTGTGACAGCGTTACGAATGCTTGTACTGTTGTTCTCGTCTGGTACCTCTCGCGACATAAAAGAAAAGTGGTGTCGCACTACATTGATGTTAACGTTTCTTTGCTACAAAAGCAGAAGGACATTTCTGGCCCTTTTAAAGTGATGTAGCGCTCGGTGACCTGGTTTAGTTGTGCCTTGCTGTACAGATTTGTACACGGGACGCGGTACAAATCTGCTGAGGCTTTCTCAGACTTACTTTAAATTAAACGGTGCGCGTGTTTTTAGCCACTTGAAATGGTGCCTTTGAGATTCTCATTATTGTGGGCTCTTATACGGTGAGTGATATGGAGTAGTAGACAAGTTAAGATGGTGGAGTGTAGTCTCGCGTAATAGCACCACGATACGGCCTCGTTTTTCAAGGAACAATAAGTACCGAAGGTCGTCAAGAAGGCAAAAGTGTACTACCCTGAAGAGTCGATCTTCATTCCTATACATTTATGCACTAATGCCCCTTTCAGCTAAGCTAATTTACTGCAGTTCAAACGCGTGTCCTTCAGCTCCCTGAATGTCACTCCAAGTGTTTCGGTGCCGCAGTAAAAAACTAGTTGTCACTCGGAAAACACGGAAATAACGGTGTGTGGAGTACTATTAGACATTGCAAATATTATGGTCAATATATAAATGTCTCTGAAATGTTATATATATTGTTATGGCAGAAGGCAAGTCGAAGGCTTTGTCTCGTCAGGTTCACCGTCAGCCTTTAATGGCGTCCATTCACCCACAGGCACGCTGTCTAATCTTCTTTTTCCTTGCTGTATTTGCAAGTCTTCGTCTTGTACAACACTCTTTACGGTCTGAGTCTTCGTTTTGCACAACAATATTTTAATCAGGACGCCTTAGAATATATTATATAAGGCTACAGTAATGAATAATCTTTACACTGTTTCGTTGCTTCTAACGGACCTTCACAAGAAGACGCAGATCCAGCCTTGGCTTTGCGCTTTGTCCTACGGAGGTCTGCGAAAAATTCATAACACTGCCTTCTTAGACCATACGGATCGTATTATTTCACGCAGGTACACGTCGAAACTGGAGTAGGCTCTATCTTTCTATGCTAAGATTGCATTGAAATCACTTACTTCACCGCCGTCTTTTATTGATTCACCGTGGCGCTAATCTTGGTCATGATCAAGCCTAAACCGGAATGCTAACTATGCTTTGCTATTTTTTTTAACAATACTCATCTCCTTTCTTATTTTCGCTTTTTTTTAATTAAATTTAAAATAAAATAACGCGACACTTTTTTTTTTTTTTTTGTTGTTGTCTATTACTCTTGAAACACCGCAGCGCATTCGATCGAGCAAAGGGAGTTTGTCAAGCACACTTAAAGCCGAGTGTGACCCTTAGGAAGAAGCCGTGTGGCACACTATAGACCGACACGCGGAGCGGCTCTGTTTACCAACACGGCCGGAAGGCCGCGCATGCGCGGTAGCTATGTGGGCAAAAGCAACCCGGCTCTCCGTGTTTTCGCCATTGCGCTCTATGGCGTGCGCTCGTTGTTGACGTTGTAGGGACGCTTGTATCTTTATTTGTGCGTCGTATTTCCTCATAACGTATGTCGTACGCTATGCCCGACTATTTGAGCTCGTTGCCCGAGCCTGAACGATAGCGGTATCGAAACAAACTATGCGTGGACGGCGTTGCCTACGAGGATCCCTACGCCGTAAACAAGACCTGCTGGACTTCCGACGTAAAGTTGCTGCCATGGAAGTCGACGGCTCAGGTCGTCGTTTATTTAGTTTTTTCGCCAAGCCAGTTCACGGCCGACACGGTGCAGGCGTACAAGTCTCCCGAGGCCTACGATCACATCGAGTCGGTTTCCGCACTGCCGGCGGAATCAGCAGACTGTGGGTCTGCGGAAGTGTGTATTCATTAACTGATTAAATACACAGAGCGCCTTCAAGTCAACGTATGATATTTTTCATACCCCCATGACCACAAGGCATTACAACCACTAAAGGTTTGTCCGTGCAGTCTTGGCGGTATCAGGTTACAAGTAACGGCGTTACCAGGAACGCGTTACTTTTTTCAGTAACGTAGTTTTCGTTTTCGTTTTCGACACAGTTTACGTTTTCGACACAGTAACGTTTTCGACACAGTAACAGTTTACGTTTTCGACACAGTAACGGGTAACGTACTTGTGTTACTATTTCAAGTAACGTAGTTACGTTAGTATTTACTACTTCCCAAGTCTTAAAGAAATTACACTTCAATTGTTTTCGTGTTTTAGGCGTCAAGCCATGTTTTTCTTTGCGTTTTTTCTCTTAAGTATTTAAGTGAAACCGTAAAAAGAGATAAAGTAATTATGTTCAGTTCCTGCTTCATATATGACCTGTATCGTCAAAACCGTAAAATGTGTTAAATCATAATTTAAAAAAAGTAATGCAGAAGTAACGTGCCTTACTTTTTATCGGTAGCGGTAACGCGTTCCTTTTATATTTAGGTAACGTAGCTCAGTAACGCGTACCTTTTATTTGCAAGTAACGAGTAACTTGTTTTGTTACTTTTTTTTTGGTAACGCCTACAACACTGCCGTTCTGTCGCCGATCCCCTTCTGCTCGGTAGCACGGGCGTAGCGAGCCTCCGACGAGCGCTTGGCCGGTGCGTTGTGCGCGAACACCGTGGGAATAAAATCCGGGTGGTCTCGATCAGACAACGGTTTCCTTGCACATAAGCAAGCCTCGGGACGGAGATTGAAATGGAAGCCGCACTTGCCTCCAAGAAAGTGTTCGCCGCAGAAACGGTCGTTCGCACGAGGTGACCATTCTTTTCGATCCACGGATATTATCCACCTTCTATGCCTTTCAGAGTCTGCCGGGAACTTGTGGAAACTCACTCCGCTATTTTTCTTGTACATTTTGGCGCAATTAACGGCAACACAGCTTCGCGGCATGCTGAAATGCTTTGACGCCCATGCGAAACGTGCGCGCTTTTGCCCACACCCCCCGGCTCCAGCGCGATCGCAGCGCCGCCGCAGCTCCGTGACGTCAAACCCGCGTGTCGGTGTATACAAATGACATTAAAGAGGAAATGTACTTGGTTGATGTGCACTACGTTAGCCTGTCTGACAGGGGTATTGTATACACCTGAGCGCTTCTATATTCATCCGTACTTTTTTTTTTAAAGACAATGCCACAAAATAAGTAAAGGCGACCTCATAATTTTCCTTCATGTGATATAAGCAATACAGTCGTTACATGTGTCGTGCAAGAATGATGTAACGAAGATGCACGTAAAAGTGGCAGAATCTCATTAGTATAGTGCGGCACCATGATCTTCCCTCCAAGAAATTAGAAGAGGCTACTTTCCCGCCCGTAACTTGGGATGGCACAATGACTGCAGTCTACAGAGGGGGATGGGCAAATGGGAAGATTAATGAAATGTTTAGAACGAGAAAAAAAAAAGATTAGGCTGGAACACTTTACTTGATGAAGCATGATGCTCGGCATCACCAAGGGCGCTGTTTGTTAGGTGTAGGCATTGTCCAGCCTTGTCATTCCCTGAGGTGCACTGCAGCGAGTGCGTTTCCAGAGTGCTTTGCGAGAAATTAGACTTTCCAGGTTTTTTGGAGTGTACAAAACTGCACAATAATGGGTGTTTTTATCTTCAATGTACAAATTAGCTGGTTAAAGTGAGCTGGGTACTCTCGTTTCTTACTGACGGCTGCAGCAGAAGATGTTTTAAAGAAAATCAGATGAGGTAATCAAGTAATGAGCTAAGTAAGAGATAAAGAAAGACGGCTGTTGTTCTATACAAACATAATGTGTCACACGGATTTAAGAAGATAGGGAACCTTGTTAACATCAACGTAGCCTTTTCTGCACCGAGTATGCTTCTGAGCTGATGCAGCAAAGTCAATCTGTCAACACAGCGTCAAGCTGGTTGTGCAAAAAAGCACCGAAAGAGGTTTGTTACTTGCATCGAGGGGGTGGTTAGTTTATTATATTCCACTCTCATATGGTAGAGAATATATAGGACAAACCAGCAGGTTTTTAAATGATCACTTAAGAGAACACTTCTATAGCACCCACAAAGTCGTTTCAGGACACCTGGGCATGCAGTGTAGGTATTGTGGATATGTTCCGAATTTCGAAAAAGGTTTGTAACAGAAAGAAGTCGGTACCCGCTGAGAAGAGATATAAATAAAAAAAAAAAAAGCGCTTCTGGTTGACAAGTGTGTTAGCAGTCCGTCTTAAACACTGTCTCAACCCACCTGACATTTTTATTCTGAAAATTGCGGTGGGGATTCAGAGGCATATTTAGAAGTGGTTCCTGTATTCGTGCATCTGTGCTGGTCTTAGAGATTGGGATTGTCAGCCCAATGACGAGAACAAGAAAGCTTGAGATACACCTAAGCATTTCTTATGAGTCGTGAATGCGAAAGCATGCAAGCCGCTCGTCCGCTCCCTTTGTCGTCTGCTCGTCCGCTCCTTTTGTCGTCTGCTCGTCCGCTCCCCTTGTCGTCTGCTTGTGCGCTCCCTTTGTCGTCTGCTGCGTACTAGCGCGCGCGCGCCTCGGGATCTCGAAGGCCATGGCGCAGCGGCCAATGGGAGCCCCCTCGACGCGCGCCAGCTAATGGAACCGAAGGCACGCGGAAACTATCTGCTCTTTTCGCGTTTCCAACTGATGACGTCAGATCGCTCCATGAGCCAGTTAATACTTTCGCATTAAAAAGTAACAGAATGCAAAACGAGTTGTAAGTCAGCGCGTGTGTTTGTCCTTTTGTGTGTTGGTGTGTGATTGATCTTGTGCTGTTAACATGAGAAGGTTTTATCTTCTTCAAGATATGCATGACTCTCGATCGCCTTCCCTTTTGACTAAGTTAAAATGAAATCCCCTGCTCACCTGTTCGACATTACAAAAAAAAAAAAAAAAAAGTAATTCGGGAACTTTGGTTGTTAACATCAAGGTGATACTCGGTCACGAAAATGAGTAAACAGAGGTAAATCCCTCTATAAGTCTGCATTTAAGCACTAGCTTTTACGTTGGTATTTGTGCGCTCGTTAGTAGCGATTTGACATTTCGCAGGTCTCGCTTGGCTGTGTAAAGATTATTGAACAATCTATCAATAGAACAGAATGATGATATTAAATGATATTAAAACAGCGTGAATATAAATGTGTACCAAACGATACGGTGGACGAAAGAAACAACGTCCGCTTAGCCCATGTCCAGTTACTCCATAGTAGGAATACGTACCATCTCTTCAATTTAACAATTCTCTTACCTCTAAAAACACGAAATAAAGGGTGTCCTAAAAAATGGACATGTTTATATGTAATTATATTGCAAATATAAACTATGCACATGGAACACTCGTTTTTCGTCCAAAAGTAGCGCTAGAGATCCGAACCAGATGCCAAAGTTTCAACACGAACCGCTATTTTATTCAAAAGTTACAAGTGATTACTCAAAAATGACATTAGGAAAATGGCGGTTGATGGAACTCACGAATGCATAGAGCTCTGTGGTGCCACAGACGAAAAAGAGGCGAAAATGAGCCCCATTGTTTCATTAAAAGTTTCGGAAAATCACTTAGGACGATACCATATCGGTTCGAGCTGTAAATTTGGCAACTGGTTCGGACGTTTAGCGCTACCTTTGGGCGGAGAATGAGTGTTCTGCGTTACGTAATTTATCCTTGCGATGAAAAAAAAAAGAAGCCTGTAATGTTTTTTGAGACGCTGTGTAAATATACACATAGAAACTGAAAGAGCGTAAAAGATTAGAGCGCGACGGAATGTCGAAGTACCAAGCTCTAGTTGGAATTATCCGTAAGTGAACTCAGTCGCTACTCGCTGCTCTAAAGCAAACACCGAACGGCGGCATCCGGCGTTCGAACGCGTTTCGCCAATGAAAAAAAAAACCAAGGCAGAGAGAGTTGTATTTTCCCACTGACCATTTGAACCAGAGCTTGGTGCTCTGACGTCCCTTCACTTCTCACTTCTCTCTTTCAGCTTTTATGCCCTATAGGCCAGAATGTTTTAGCCTCGCAAGCAGAGGCGAGCGGCGCTCTACTTTCGACACCGGACGGTACGTATGGTGCAGGGTACTGCGGAGATCGCGGTGGTATGCCGCAGTATGCTCTGCCTACACTATTTCCTTGCGCGTGCTCATTTATTCTTTTGTCGTGTGTAAGTTTTAACTCCGGACGCACAAGAACTATTCATCTGGACGGCATTGCAGTCCCCCCGCAAAACCGCAGTCCCCAAGAAGTGCCCGCGGGCGTCGCCCCAGTCGACACAATATGACCGCTCGCTGAAACGTCCAAAATCTGCTCTGTACTCTACCTCGGATGTTGTCTATAGTCCTGGCGAAACCCGACACCACCGAAAAAATGAAGACAGCGCCACCCCTTCCCCAAAATTTCATTGCTATTGTGTTCACACAGTGCCGTGCGCGTCTCGGACTAGCAGCGTCTCACGAGTGCGACGATGGTACCGGGCGTAGCGAAACGACCGCGTCCACCGCTTTTCGGCTACTCTCGTCAAGATTCAGAGCAGGCATTGTCTTCTAGGTGACAGTAAAGAAACAGGGCCGTGCAATTTTCATTTATGATTTCTTTGCACTTGAGGTCGGGACCTGGAGCGATGCGTCTGCATGTTTGGGAATACCGTTGGAGCCATACGTGTGTAGAGCACGAGGCGGCACGAGCCGTCTCCTGCATTCTCGCTTGCACTTTGCTAGAACTATTCCGGCGTTACACGTGCGCTGAAAGTTTAGCGAGATCCGTGTATTTATCATCAATGTATCATCCCAGACACCCACTTTTGAGATGAATTGTACCATTAATCCTTAGTTCGTAAGCACTATGTAGTTTCCCCGAATATTTTTTACAGAAGATATTGAGTTCGTTTTTGTAAGACAGATAGTTTTACAAGATTACTCGTACAGTTTGTGTAAGCCGCCGCCGGTCTTCCTGCATTCCAGGACACGTTCGATTATTTCTATGCCGCCAAAGCATAGAAGCAGGTTTCTGCGTGGTTTAGTTTTATAATGCGTGGTCCAAAGATAGGAAACTTACGCCACGGGAAATCATAGGACCAAAGTCTGGGAAGGCTTCACGACACAGTTGGTTCTTCGTCATTTTCGTCCCCGGAAGTTCCTTCATGTTTATTCTGTAGCGCGTCTGTGACGTCACATCAAAGCAGGCTTGATCTAGAGTCCTGAAACAAGCAAAAATGAAGAACGCCTAATCTTCACCGATGCTCCGTTATTTACCAAACCGTCTTACTTTGACGTGTCGCACTACTTGACTTTATTTGAATATTGCCCGAACAAACAAGATATTTAGGAATATACCAATCTCGCTAAGCCTCAGGCGCATGCAAGACGCCGCAATAAATGTAGTTTGCTGAAGGCAGGCTACATTAATCCATCTGAACACCAATTTAATCCAAGTGTCAGTAAACTTAATTTCAACGCCATTCATTTGAATTCACGAGTCACTCAAGTTAATCCGTTCATATCACTGAATTAACTATGACTAAACTCATATGTGACTTCCGTTTTTGAGGTTTAAGTTCCTTGCAAGTCATAAATGGTTTTTCAGTCTTTATGCGTATTGAGTAACTCGTTCTTACGTGAATTTTGAGGTATTTTTTAGACCACAATACTTAAGCTCGTGACTGAATGATGGAGAGTTTTTTGTCGGTTTTAGAAAAGTAACGAAAATTTTGGAAAGGCTTGACAGTAGCAGCTTGTTTAAATAATTTGCATTTAAATTAGACGTATGCAATTAATAGCATAAACATTTCCATTGCAAATCAAGACGCTGATTTTCGACAGCGAGTATTCCACTCCCAAATATGTGAGTTACTTGTCTTTAGTTTGAAGAACAGAAACAAGATTACGGTCACAGGCCAGGCAAATAACACGATGACTTTTCTGCCTTGCTTTTTTACGTCGCCGTTTAGAGCACCTGCCATCGGGTTTTCTTTTGAGGTGTAGTGCCAAGCCGCGCGAGTGCGGCTGGGCTATGCTCACTGGTGTAAGCTTTCACGCCGGACTTAAACTTGGAAAACATCTCTTTAGTCGGGTTCAAGAGCGGACTGTATGGCGGTAGGTACTTTAAAAACTGCCCCAAGGACAAGGCGGCGTATGCGGCTCGTCGATGTGCGGGAGCGTTGCCAAATATTATGACTGCATCCTGGCCTGGAGCTGTTGCCACGACAGACCTCGAAACTTACTCCAGGAATTCGTGAAAAGTCGACCAAGACATTTTTTTCACATTTCTCTGCAAGAGAATCCCGTCATCAGACAAGCATCCGAGGATGCTGATATTGGGCCTTGTGGTACATTTAGTTCTCGAGACGGAGTTGTCGAGGATCTTTCTCGGTTTAGAATTAAATAGGCTGAGCAGTAAATGTCACACCGTTTAATCGGTCGTTCTCATAATTCGAGCTATACAAAACAAAACAAAATAAAAAAACCTGCCTCATTGTCGTCTTCCCTATATCGGAGTCGTTTCCACTTCACCCTTCTTGATTTTCCAGATGCTCCCGAGACGGAGAAGCGTAATGAATCTCAAGGAGATATAGCTTTCGAACTGGCCTTTGAAAAACATTTCCGTGTTGGTCCCTGACGATGTAGGCTCAAACGTGACCGTCTTTCCCTTTGATGGAGTCTGTAAATTTTATCAGATTCTAAAAATATCGGGGACAGTTCTTTTCTTCAAGAAGTACCAAGTCACTTGCATACAGGTTTGTGGACTTGATATTGGGGTAGTGATCAGCAGATTGTAGTTCCGAGATGTTTCCTTTTCTCCATCTCGTCCAAAACTGGTCCAGTAGTTGTTGTCGGTATTGAAGCTTCTGAATCGCTTGACGTTGTATGAGGGGCGGCAGAATCTCGTCCGTGCAGTTCATTTCTGGTAAAACAGTCAAGTTTTGTCCAACCAGAAAGTGAGCCAGGCAAAGTGGTGCTGGTTCGTCAACTTCCGAACTGACGCATATTAAAAGTCTTGAGTTAATAATAGCCTCCACTTCAGAGAGGACTGTTGGCAGCTCTTCAAAGCCAAGGCCGCATTTTCCCAAGACTTTCCTGAGTGTTTTTTTTACTGAGCGCACCAGCCGTTCCCACCACCCTCCCCACCAAGGAGCTCTCCCAACAATTAATTTCCACCGTATTCTGTGTTGAGCACGGTAGGAAGTGACGCCTGGGTGGTTCAGGCTTTTCAGGATGTTCCTCAAGTCACTTGATGCCTTCTTAAATGTTTTAGCATTGTCGGAGAATATCGTGCTGGGTACTCCTCTGCGCGAAATGAAGCGCCGAAATGCCAAAATAAAGGCGTCAGTTGAAAGATTAGTTGATAATTCCAGATAAACCGCTTTCGTTATGGCACAGGTGAACAAGACTATGTAACTCTTAGCATCGTTCTTCTTTCCGTTCCGGTTTTTCGCATAGAGTGGTCCTGCGAAATCCAATCCCGTTACCTCGAAAGGTTTGGTTTCGTTAATTATGTCGGCTGGAAGTGGAGCGAATTGCATCTGAGTCGGTTTAGTACTGAACCTACGACACTTAGGACATGTACCAAATATCTTCTTGGTTAACTGTCGTGCTCGAAGTATCCTGAATCGTTGCCTCGAAACAGTCATCGTACTAGTCACACATTCATGAAGCCACAGGTTCTGAGCATTCAGGACAATGAGTTCTGTACAATGCTTGTCATTCGGCAGAATGATAGGATGTTTCACTGCACTTGGAGCGTGCAGCTCATGTAGCCTTCTTGTTATCCTGAGTGTACGATGTTCGTCCTGAAAGGAATGAAGATCAGCCAGGGGTGAGTGTTTTTCCGCTTGATGGTCTCTGGTCAGTAAGCTGACTTCCCTTTTGAAGTTTTCATTTTGAACTTGCCTTATTCAATATTATTCCGCCGCGGCATAATCAGCAGCTTTCAAGTGTCCTTTTCTTTCCAAATTTTCGCTCCTGCAATTGCTGACAAATCTGATAACTCGGGCTGTAACTTGAAGCAATCTAGAGAGGCTACTATACTTCGTCACATCAAGGAATGCCATCGCTAATGGACTTGTTTGAAGGTATACTTGGTGATGTAGTGCTATTTGCATTTGAGTTCCAAGTGAGTATCTGAAGTAGGTAGGTTTTTTGGCCATTCAACTGGATCTTGAACAAGCTGCTGGGTCCTTTCTACCACATGGATCTATCCCGCAGCGTTGCTGCTGATTCTCCTCGCGTGAACTGGTCCGCAGGGTTACTGTTTCCAGGGCAGTGCCTCAAGTTTTCGGAAACACTTTGTGATTGAATTTTTAGTACTTGATGTTTTACAAAAGGCTTCGATCTTTCTACTGAGCCCTGAATCCAACTAAGTACCACGGTGGAATGCGTCCACATGACATATCGAATATGAATGTCAGGGTACGTCTCGCGCAAATAGTCTAGGGGTCTCGTACCAACAATAGCTCCCATCAGTTCCAGACGCGGTAACGTTATTGTTTTGATCGGCACAACCCTTGATTTAGTTGTCACTAGAGCCGTTAAGCTTCTCTGCTTTGAGTTTCGATTCGCATGCAAGCAGATGCTCCATAGGCTTGTGCACTTGCGTCGACAAAGGTGTGCAGGTGTGTTTCTATGACTTCTGTCAGTCCATTCTTGAGGTGTCTTGGAACGAAAATACTGTAGAGCTGAAACAGCTCAGCGCAACATTCTTCCCAGTCTCCTCTCTGGCGCTCCGGAAGCATTTCATCTCGTTTTAGTTTAAGCCTCCACAAACTCTGGAATAGAATTTTTGCTCGTATTGTGAAGGGTGTATTCAATCCCATTGGACCGAAGAATCGTTACGCTGCTTGTAGCACATACCGTTTAGTGTCTCGTTTGTTTTGTAGAAATGAGATAAGGTTATCCACTGAGAATTTGAAGCAATCGTTGTCCTTGTCCCAGGTCATCCCCAGTACTTTCAAGATCCCCGAGAATCTTCTGTCAGTGTCCTCTGCTATCACGCCTGTCTCTATTTCCTCCATAATTTGCTGCAGTTCAGCATCGTTAGAAGACCATTTTCTTAGCTTCATGCCTGCATCGTTCATGAGGATCTTAGATATTTTGTACCCAATTCGGTTGCTTCTTCCAGCGCATCTGCACCCACAAGAAGATCGTCCACGTAGATTGAGCTCTGTAATATTTCTGTAATGCTTTTTTGATCTCTAGTCACGTTCTTCAGATGGTGCTGTATAGTTGCAGACAACATACACGTTCTCGACGTCGCTCCAAACGGAACTCTTGTCATCCGCCATTCCTGAATGTTCGGAAATTTCATCTGGGAAAGGAGCTCGTCTTCAAACCACGGGAACCTGAATGCGGTGCGATCTTCTTTTTTAACATCGATTTGTAGAAACTCTTTTTCGATTTCTGGAGTTAGTACAATCGCATGCGCTCTAAAGCAAAAAAGGGTTTGAAGTATTTCTGGATTCAGGTTAGAATATTTTTCCAGGAAGTGATTAAGCGGTTTGCACCCTTTTTCGTGAGATGAAGCGTCAAACACCACCCTCAACTTCATGATAACAGACTCTCCTTTGAGGATTTTCCAATGTGGCATGTAATATGTTCGTGTCTCAGCTTGATCGTGCTGACCGAGCGGTACTGGTTCCGCATGTCCCAACTTTATATACTGGCGGATTGCCTCGTCATAACGCCGAAGTAGATCGTTCTGGATCGAAATTCGCTTGGTCAGGCGATGTAGGCGAGTCGGAGCTATTTGACAATTATCCTTGAACACCTCCACACAGTCTTCTTTCCAGGGCAATGCTACTTGGTACTTTTCACCAACCTTGACAATGCTCTTGTGAAAGCGTGCTGCTACACTCTGTTGAGTGTTAGATGTCTCCACGTCTGTGATTTCCATGCTGTGAAGTTTCCAAAAAGCCTTCAGAGTTTGGGTGGTTGCTTCCTCGTCGATCATGGTTTGTGCGGTAAGGACGCTCACAATCAGGGTCGTTTTTAATAGTATACCCTTTTGCATCGAGGTTCCTTGGAGAGTTCATCCTATCGCAGTGTTGAGGGCTACCAATCCACGGATTTCCTTGGATCACAAAATGTTTGTAGTTGGATGTTATTGCTCTCACCTAGCTCAGTAGAAGTCGTGTGCTTAGGATCAGAAGAAGACACGCGAACGACTAAGTCTTTCTTCGTTTTTTCTTTCCTTGTCCGGGCGAAT